GATGTTGGCATTGTAGCACTTTAAATGCATGTAATGCCTGTTTAATTCATACTTCTAATTCCGCATTTGCCTTACAAAAGTAATAGAACATTCCAGGAAATCCCTAATCTAACCTAAATCTGGGAAACTGTTCATTTGAATTATGGTCCACTAGTGTAGTCTGCACTATTAAGTGTACTTCACTCACTTTAGACCTGACAATGGAAATGTGGTTAGTTTTTACTTGGACTCTTAACCCTTGACTTTTTAGAAAAAAAAAGAAAAAGAAAATTTGAACAAATGCTACTAGATCATAACTTTTTGCCCAAATACAAAATGATTTAGATAAATGGCCTCTTGAGGAAGTAAAATCAGCTATACACAGAATGAATAGCTACACACATTTACTGAAGCATTATCAGTTGTGATGTATTTAATTTAGATGAGAAGCACAAATATCACCAGACTTTTTGATGGCTTCTCTAAACATCCCTCATTTAGCCATTAATGTCAGCATAGGCTTATTGTGGATGTGTACCCATGTCTACATTTCTGGAGAGTGCAAATTATGTACCCAGAGGTACGTCTGGCTGCATTTCATCTTTAAAATGAACACTATAAGTTAGCTTGACCCCGCTGACAGCCTCTGTTTCTTTTCACGCTACCAGCTGACTACTTACCCCCATATGGACGGCTTTTCCAGTGTTACCAGTTTGCTTAGTAGCTTGCTGCATACGTCCACAGACTTGGAACACAAAGTGGCATTGACCATGATGATTAAGGTTTTGTCTGGCAAGAATGGTTCCAGAAACCAGATAAAGCTAAAACATACAAAATAAATAGATAAACAACATGCTGAAAATGTGGTGTAATCACACAGCCGTGATGACCTTTCTTTTTCTAAATAGCTTTTGGGTTGGATTGCTTTTTAAGACACTATCTTTTGTGTTTGGGAAGTGGGTGTGTCAGTCAGTCGACAGTAAGGGCGCACTCACACTATGCTATCCAAACTGGGCCCAGGTGCGTTTCTCAATTTGTTTGAGAAGTGTGAGTGCTCTGAATTAGGCTCAGGTGTGGTTTAGTTGGCCGGTCCTGGCCTGGTTGGAAGAGGTGTGCCAGAGCACAATTTATTTGGGCTCACTGTAGTGTGAGTGCAAAGCATGCCTGAGCCTGAAACTGAAGACCCAGCATTCCTACATATAGATTTATTAATCATTCTTAATTTTTCAATGAACACAAAACTGTCATAGTTTATTAAAGACGCAAACCCCTCACTGCACGTCAGCTGCACCTTTAGCAAACTTGCTAATTCCTGCAGCACGAGGACTTTTATGTTTATAAGCATCAAAAGTGGTGGATCTGTTCAGCAAAGTGTTTGACTGCGTGTCACTGCATTCCACATGACTAACAATAATACAAAACGATATGACTAATGCAATGTCCACTGTGCTGAGCGAGAGCGCTTCTCTTCCTGTTAAACTGAATAGTTGAATCATCGATGATGTAAGCGTGCTCAGGTCCGGTAGGTAAAAATGCAATGTGAGTGCAGTCTGAGATGAAGAGGGGAGGGAGAGGCAACTGTACCTAATGTGAGTGCGCCCCAAGCTGGCCTGGTCGGCTGAAGTGTATATGGCGCCCTCTAGTGGATAATCTCCTTCACAGGAGAAGAGGACACGCAAGAGAAATTTCATTCATCATTTATTTTCTTGTCAGCTTAGTCCCTTTATTAATCCGGGGTCGCCACAGCAGAATGAACCGCCAACTTATCCAGCACATTTTTACGCAGCGGATGCCCTTCCAGCCGCAACCCATCTCTGAGAAACATCCACACATTTACACACAAACACACTATGGACAATTTAGCCTACTCAATTCACCTGTACTGCATGTGTTTGGACTGTGGGGGAAACCGGAGTACCTGGAGGAAACCCACGCGAACGCAGGGAAAACATGCAAACTCCACACAGAAACGCCAACTAAACCGAGCATCGAACCAGCGACCTTCTTGCTGTGAGGCGACAGCACTACCTACTGCGCCACTGCTTCGCCCCACAAAAGAAATTTAATATCATAAAAAATCATACTCAGTGGCCTCTGGTAAATCTGCACAAACTGTTCCCAAACTGTTAAAAGAAGATCAAAAATCTTACTCCCCTGAACAAAAACTGTTTTTTTTTCTCTTCTTTGTGATTAATAATTTATTGAGTGCAGATTTTCTTTGGTACTTGTCATTTTGGTCAAATGAGCAAATTTGGTCAGCACTAAACTCATCTGGTAGAGCTCAATGATTTACATTTGATCTCTGAACAATAAACAACAAAACAATTAAGAAGTAGATTAAAATAACTTTTATTAAAACAGCTTAAACATAAACCTAAACATAAAACAAAGTAAAAAAAGAGATTAAATCAGTCCAGCACAATTAATCATAATTATACACAATGACAGTTATTTTCTTACTAAAGGTTTAAGAGAAAAAAACGAGTTAATTTACATGCTCAGCCTTAATGATTATACCTAATCAGCCGACAATACAAGTTATTTGCATCCGTGTGTTTGCATTAAGCATTTATATACTAGATTACAAAAATTAAACAAATAAAACAGCTGGACAGAAGCATAGTTATAGTTTAACAACAGATTAAAGCTAAATGATTCTCCAATAATCATTGATTCAATAAATCTGTGTTCTCTAATGATATCTGTGTGAGTGGATCTCTCATCTGACGCTGCTGTAGATCACTGAGTCTTCCACTCTTTCAGCATTTGATCGCCTGAAAAGACAAGACAAAAACAACACAACAATATTATCCATCAACTGTATGTGTCATTCAACTTAACCTAAATGGCACACACACTCCTTGTAAATGTCTGAATGACCACAGGTCTTCAGATCAGCTCCTCAGTGGACTTGTGGCAGACACATCCCATAAGGACAGCGATAACAGTCATTGCGTTTTGGGAACGGAGACGAGATTCTCAAGGTGAATGTGTACTTCGACTCTTAGAGGTCAAACAACAAAAAATAAGGTCAAGAGTCTTGGTTGATCTTGGAGTCAGATCTAAGGTTCAGTAGTCTAAATCAGCATACTATCATCTTTAAAACATGCACATATTAGATGCTTTGTTTCCAGTGAGAAACTTGTTCATGGTTTTATCAGCAGTATGGTGGATTACTGTAACGGCCTCCTCACAGGCTTCCCCAAATAAATAGTCAGACAGTTGCAGCTCATCCAGAAAGCTGCGTCCAGGATTCTGACCAGAAGCAGGAAATCAGAGCTCATCACACCTGTCCTCAGGTCTCTACACTGGCTCCCAGTTACATTCAGAATAGAGTTTAAAGTATTACTATCTATAAATAGTTTATACATCACTCAATGGCCTAGGACCTCAATACATTACAGATATGCTCACTGAATACAAACCTAACAGAGAAACACTGTATTAATTGACTCTGATAATGGAAAATACTTTACAGTTAGGGTTAGGTTTAGGGAAAGGGATTAGGTTTGGATTATAATTTAGAACAGGAATGATGTTCTAGAATCAACATGGGGATTTAGTGCGGTTGTTGATGGTCCAGCAGTTTCTCCTCACCTGTGGTCTTGATCAGGCTGCTGAACTGGTGTGTCGTCACACTGACGCTGCTCCTCTTCTTCCTCTCTCTTCATCTGTGTGTCTCTGTGATATCGGACAGTGGAGTACTGGATCTCCTCAGCATCTCTGCATTCAGCAGCTCTTCCTCTTTTGGGATTTACACTGGCATACAGAGCATCACCCGCTGATCCAGGAGCAGAATACAGATCATTCTGAAACACAACAAAATAAGAGCCTTTAATACAAAGCATCTGGATTTTTCTCACTGAATCGTACTGCAGATGTGATGTAGATATGCTGATGACTTTAAAGTTAAAATTGTAAATATACCAGAAATTTGAATAACACAAAGAAAAACATGAGTTTGTCTGATTTTCCGCTGTAAGGTTGTATCTGCATGATTAACTGTACCTGCGTCACTGAGAGACCTTCAGATTCACCACTCCTTTGTTTCTTTCTGTTGTAATAACACACATTAACAGACATGAATCACTCTTATAATACACTAAATACAGCAATAATTTTTTTTTAACTGTAAAAAAATGTGATTTTATTGATCTCACATTAAACACAGGATGATGATGAAGATGAATAATCCTCCAGATGTCGCTGTGATGATGATGATGTTTCTCTCAGCATGCTGATGAACTGAAAGATGAAGCAGATCATGATTAACTCTCCAGACTGATGAAGTTACAGGAGTGTGATGATAAAAGCTTCACCAGTGACAGTGACGGCGTCTGATCTCTGAGCTCCATGTGGATTGTGAGCCTCACAGTAGAAGCGTCCACTCTGTACTGCACTGAAACTCTGTCCAGATCCAACAGCTGAGCTTTGATTCTCCTTAAACCAGCTGAAGTTCAGAGCAGGAGAGTTTGAGTCACTGATGCACATCAGACTCACTGAATCAGAAAAAAGCTGACCAGAATCAGTGACGGACACTGAGATGCTCTTGGGTGGGTCTAGAAAGAAAAAACACTCATATCTACTTAATAACATCCACAACATTAATATTTATAGGAGGTAATGTTTCAGTAATTGAATAATCAAAAACTCACACTGGACATCTAAAGTCACAGGATCAGAGTTTTTCTCTCCATGTTCATTTCTGGCTCTACACTTGTATTCTCCACTGTCATCAGAGCTGATATTTGAGATGCTGAAGATTCTTCCAGATCTTACAGATGTTTCTCCTTTAAACCAGCTAAAATCTGCTGGAGGGTTTGAGTCACTGCTGCAGCTCAGAGTCACTGAATCTCCAGACATTATCACAGCAGATCCACTGATGGACACTGAGATGTTCTTGGGTGCGTCTGAAACAGAAAAAAAAAAAAAAACTAAAAAAACACTCATATCAATTACATCAAACATGGCATTAAAATCCAGACTTAGAGGATTTAATATATCAGTTACTGAACCATCATTTACTCACACTGAACATCTAAAGTCACAGGATCAGAGTATTTCACTCCATGGTCATTTCTGGCTCTACACTTGTATTCTCCACTGTCATCAGAGCTGATCTTGGAGATGCTGAAGATTCTTCCAGATCTTACTGATGTTTCTCCTTTAAACCAGTTGATTTCTGCAGGAGGGTTTGAGTCACTGCTGCAGCTCAGAGCCACTGAATCTCCAGACATTATTACAGCAGACCCACTGATGGACACTGAGACGCTCTTTGGAGGATCTAAAGCACATAAAAATAAAATGTGTAAATCCTATAATAATAATAAAACTATATAATGAAAATAAATCTGGACTCACAGGTGACATTGAGATAGACGTCAGGTGATGTGAGTGTGTGTCCATGTACAGCACATCTATATCTGCCTGCGTCTTCTCTTCTGACTGAGCTGATGTTGAGTTCATCTCCAATATTAGTCAATGTGTGTGAGTTTCTGTACCAGATGAATGTTGGTGTGTCAGTCAGTTTACAGCTGCTTTTACATGTCAGACGGACTGAATCTCCCTCTGTCACTCTCTCAGGAGACTCCAGCTGAAGATCTGAACACAACACACACATTATATCTAGTGCTGCTCTCATACACTGATTATTATTCTACATAATGACCACAAGAAGAGAGAAACCTCAGGAGAGTCACCTGTGACAGAGAGAATCACTCCTGGAGAGCCAAGCCATTTCCCATCTTTATCAGTAGTAAATCTAAAACAGTACTCATGTTCAACTTTCTTTGTCACATGACTCAGTCTGATGGTGCAGTTCTGCTTTTTATCTCCCAGATACTGAAGCCTCTGACTGTATTCAGGGTCCTCAGACAGATCTGGAGGCTCTACATCCTTTACAGGGTTTTTGGTCCAGTACACTTTCATGATCTGATGTCCATTAGGGTATTTATAAGTGCAGCTGATTATCACTGATGAGTTCTTCAGTGCACAGATGTGTAAAGATTTGTAATTCACAACCCAGTCAGCACCAGAAACCCCTGAAAAACAGATATCATTGTAGTTTTTGTCTGAATATCAATATATTCTGTACAAAAACAAAATGGAGGCTGGATGCATATAAACACTTTTTTATTTTGTTAACAGCTGTTCAGACAAACATATAACGTCACGCAACGCTACCAAAAGCGATAACTGCAGGATTGACCACTTCTGAACACAGAACACAATTAAAGATAATTAAATAATCAGACCAAAAAATATAATTTACATAAACAATTCATGTTAAATTATTGCCATTGTGGTTACTTTTCATTTAACATGATTGTGTTACGTTAAACATAATTGTCACTCTTTGGCTTAACTTGAAGTTTTCATTTAAAAAGTGCATGTTTCAATCAAGTGGCTCATCAAGTATACATAGCATTTCATGAAAGGCGAGCATACATTAAAAAAACAGGGTTGCTTTTCTTGAATTATCTCTATTAACTTCTAATTACTAATGTTTGCACGAGCACAAACGCGTAACCTTCACCATAGTGAAAATGTAGTTTTATCAGTAAACTGGACTATAAGACAATAGGAGCACATGCTGCTTTATTAGTTGTAAACAGACTCATTACAGATGATATTTTAAGCTGATCTTGTGAATATGAATAATGATCTCAGTGTGAATGACTTCAGTCTTGATGGAAGACAGAAATAAAAAGAGAACAGAGAAGATAAACGAGCCGAGAAAAAAATATATAACACAATAATGGAAAATAACTGGCCAAGAAAAATACAGTACATAAATAAAATGTACTAACATGTAAATGATGTTTTTTTTTTATTATAAACTAATGATGAGTTATTTAACTACCTACTTCTTTGTTAGTATGTTAGTTAATTTTTTTTTTTTGTGATTAAGGTAAATGTATCATATTTAATGAGAATGTATTATTAAAGGGCAATTATTTTACTGCTTTTTCAAGATTAAAAAGAAGTATTTTGTGTCTCCAGAATGTCTCTGTAAAGTTTCAGCTCAAAAAACACTTCAGATTATTTATTAGAGCTTTCAAAAGTTTAAAATATTCAGCTTTGAACTATAGCAGTTTTATTGTTGCCTGTGCCTTTAATGCAAATTGGTTCTCCCCACCCACCATTCCAACGTCCCGTCAGAGCCACAGAGATGTGTGTCTCCATCTCCTGCTGCAGATAAGCATCTCAGTGAAAGACATGAAGGATGCAAATCTTACGTAACGCTTGTGAGAAATTCTACAGTAAGAATTTTCCCAATGATTATTTGATGTATTTGTTGTGGAGTTAATTCAAGCCTTTCTGCAACAATGAGTCACACACGATGTTCAAATGTCTTTACAATGTTCATACACATACTGTCTCTACTTTATTACAAACATGCACTGTTTTAAAAATGTTTTCAAGAGTTTACAGTTAGCTGATGATTGATAACAAAGTGTGTTTGGCATGCTGTCCCGAGAGAGAGACCTGAGCTCAGAATATCCTCGAGCCCTGGGCTCCCTCCCATTTGCAGGACGAGATGGGAGATTAAGCTCAGGTAGGCCTCGAGAACTCCCCTGCTTTTGAAAGTGTTAAGACTAGCTATGAGAGATAGCTGACTAAGAGTTTATCTATGATGCCATTTTGGATTAGTCAATTTACTTATATGGTATGTCTTTGGACGGTGGAAGGAAACCAGGGTACCCAGGGAAATCCCACGCGAGACGTAAGCACAGGGAGAACATGCAAACTTTGCACAGAAACGGTGATTGGCCCAGTGAGGGCTCGAACCAATGGCACTCTTGCTGTGAGGCCCCCGCCCTATAAGGAGAAGGGGATGGGGGGGGGATTCTTCAAGATGAAGATGACTGAAGTGGAAAACTGGTTATATATAGTGAGTTAGTATTCATCTGATTGGCGAGATATGTGTGGCTGATGCGGGACCAGCTGTAGTCAATCATAAGCATGTGATTCTCTCGAAACTTCACTTAAACTTGAAAAAATCATTCTCTTGGGTGTAGATTAGGGTTGGGTACCGAAACCCGGTGCCAATATAGCACCGGTACCTTGGTAACCAGTATGTATCGGTATTAAATCAGCGTATGAATTTCGGTGCCTAATTTTGTTGCTGCAGCAAGGACGTAAGGGGTGCATGAAAAAAGGCACACATAGGCGTTGTGTCAGAGCATCACTAAACATTTAATACTAAACAACTTTGAGGAATACGGATAGGCGATATCAAGATTGTTATTGTCGCTAGGGAACAGACGCATGCAACGTGCGCAGTACAGCGCATTCAGCTAGCAGTTTTCGGTGAGCGAGAGCAACACTGAGATCAACACGCGTGATCACGTTCATCAAATTTGCTTAAACTAAGCATTCTAAAGCGTAGTTTACAAGCAATGATTCCTACACAGCAACTGTGATTACCAAAGTTGCGTGTAAGGGGGAAACATGTCAAACCTAATGACACATTTGGGGGCTCAAAGGCAGAGCCTTTCTCGCGTGCTTTAGGTGACATGAGCAATCGTTCCTCCGGCACTCGCTTATGCTCGCTCCCTCTGTTTACGCGGCACTTGCTATCTCTGTGAAGGTGCTACGCGCATCAGTTCCTCGCATTCGTCAGAAGTTGACGCCCATATTGACTCCGGTAATAAAAGGATTAAACTTCAGTCAAATTCTTGTTGTGAAACACTATCAAAATGTTTACCGTTGATGATATTAGACTTCTGTTTTCAAAAGGGATTTTAACTTAATATAGGAAGTCATTCATTTCTTATTTCCGTCTTCAACACAGGATTTATTTACGACACATTTTTAAACATAATAGTTTAAGTAACTCATTTCTAATATCTACTGTTTTCTCTTCCCCCCCATGACAGTCAGTGCAGAACATTTTACTAGTTATTTTGCAAGACAGTTGTATTCAGATAAAGTCCCTTTAGGTATTTTATGGTCTTTTATTCAGATTAAAGAGTAATTTAAACTTAATCAGTTAACTACAAAAGTTAAAATAATTAGTCAAATTATTTTGTAACTGATTTGTTGTGTAAATCAAAAATATACTGTATGTAAATATTTTTTCAAATAAAATATTTTTGTAGAGGTATCCACCATCATTTTGTGGCTAAAAAGTATCGGTTCAGGCACCGTTTTGGCACCTTTATCGTTTTAAAAGTATCGATTTAGCACCGGTATCGAAAAAAAACCAAACGATACCCAACCCTAGTGTAGATGATCACAGAGAGCTCAACATATTTTTTAAATCCTGGTTGCTTTGCGCATGTTCTGTCTTGTTGATATGATTATACACACTACAACGGAGACATGTTAATATGCGGTTGTCAATCAATTCTGTGGGCGGGGAAACCGCACTTCTACGCCACGCTGAGGTGGGCCTCAAAAGGGGGAGTGATTTGGATCCTATTTAAATGTCAGAAAATTAAAAAAGAGACCTATTGTCACCCCAATATGACTGTAGACAGATCTGTCCAAACTGCTTACAAAATATATTTTCATCATAGGTGCCCTTTAAAGGGATAATACACTCAAAAATGAAAACTCATGTTATAGTTAAGGTCAGTTCTTGATTTAGTTTACATGTTAGCACATTATATTTGGTCAATGTGTTGTTTTGAACTGTGCTATATAAATAAAGCAAGTATTATAATTTATTTCCTGTTATTGAAAAGTTCCTTTCAGGACTCATGTTTATTTTACTATTTCCATAAATGTTGCAGTTGTGTTCTGAAACAAAAGTGTCCATCAATATTCATATTGAGACAGTAAGTGTTTTGAATTTTCATATGAATTTTCACCATTTATTCCCAGGACAAGCCAAGCTGATGTTAAAGAACACTATTATTGTCTAGCTGTCAAAAGTCGCTTTTTATTGTGTTCCAATGTACTAAAATGAACACAAGACATTGACTGTTGTCACTAGGAAGATTTAGCCAGCTCTCAGTGCATCAGCTTAAACCAATGGTGTGAAAATAACTGCAAAAGCAGGCGGGTTTAATTTAACTACAGACTCTCTTCTGAGAAAACAGATCCTCCAGCACAGCCTAACTTCCTATATCAGAGAGAAGATTATCAGAAACCTGCTGAATAAATAAAGCAGTGATGTGAATGTAAGATTGACTCACTGTGAATGATGAGCAGAAAGATCAGATGAAGAGCAGGAGCCATTCTGAGCCACATCAGCATCAAATCTATCTAGAATCCAGCATTAATCATCACTTCTACACTCATCAACAGTAAATGTACATCACCCTAAACAGCTCTTAGTGTTAGGAAGATCTTTACACATCTGCAGATTATTAATGCACAACATCAGTGTGTGTAAATCAACTGATGACTGAGATCAACACAAGATATTTCTCATGTCAGAAATCATGTGTTATATGAGCTTCATCTACACTAATCATCAGTCAAATACCAGTGTGTTTGTCTTACCGTGTTGAAGAGCAGCCGATCAACAGCGACTGATGGACTATTTTAACTCATGCGCTTCTCCTTTACAGTGGCAGGCTTTTTGTGGTTAACGCTGTTTAATATCTGTCCCTCCTCTTAACTGAACATCACAGACGTTAAACTCTCTAAAGTTCATGATGTTTTAAGATAATGATGGGTTATATTAGAGACCCGTGAGTATTTGGGGGGATAAGGCCTTAGTGGATTAGGGGTGTAATCAAACCTTCATCCATCAAAGCCTGATGCAAAAAAATGGCATAGGACGAGAGTGGCACAGATCGGGTGTGGTGTGTGCACAGGAATATAGTTCACTTTCTACTGTTTTACACTATTTTGGCTTTAGATTTCTAATTTCGGGGTCAAACACAGTGTCGAGGTGGCAGTTAGTCATCACCTAAAACATCCACTAATTCTGGGAATGAGGACTACAGCCCGATTGACCGCTCACCTCCCCTTATTTTGTTATTATTCAAAGTTATATTAAGTGACCCAAGACACTAAAAAGAGATTATTAAGAAACTTCTTAAACCTCTTACTAGATTGTAACCCAGTTATTATTTCCTAAAAGCAGCCCCAAAATACATTTCCAGGAAGCTTATTCAAATCCTATGGCCAGACATTTAGGTCAAGCGACCACCTTAAACTGTTTTAATAACCAAATATTTTGGCTGGGCATTTACAATGTGAAGGTCAGATGATAAACCCACTGGCCTGCCCAAAAGCAGCTTCAATCCCATTATCGCTAACTGGGGGGACCACCTTCAAGAAAATTGGCATGGATCTCATCAGGCCTACTGAACCAATGTAGAGAGGGGAGAGTTGGGTAACGGCCAGCATCTGAAAAGTAGGTCAAAACAAATAATATTAATAACACCTGTGTCTTTGATGTAGTTGGGATGGAGAAAAAAATATAGGAGATGTTGGGTGCCCAAACTTGGTCCTGGACAGCGCAAATAGGTATCGCTGCAGCCCAGAGACCTTCAAGTTAGAGGGATTACACTGCAGGTAGTCTTGGTGACCTCCAAGTGGGAGGGACTTAAACCACAAGTAGGTTGGGTTTAGGAGGTGTAGGTGGAGCTGAAACACAACAGGTTACTGTGAGGTCGGGTTAAGGGTTGGGGTAGGTGTAGACGTTAATGAAACACAACAGGTCACTGTGAGGTTGGGTTTAGGGTTGGAGGAGGTGTTGTAGACGTTAATGAAACACAACAGGTCACTGTGAGGTTGGGTTTAGGGTTGGGGTAGGTGTAGACGTTAATAAAACATAACAAGTTACTGTGATGTCAGATTTAGGGTTGAAGTAGGTGTAGACGTTAATGAAACACAACAGGTTACTGTGATGTCGGGTTTAGGCTTAGTGTAGGTGTAGACGTTATTAAAACACAACAGGTCACTGTGAGGTCGGGTTTAGGGTAGGCGTAGACGTTAATGAAACACAACAGGTCACTGTGAGGTCGGGTTTAGGGTAGGTGTAGACGTTAATGAAACACAACAGGTCACTGTGAGGTCGGGTTTAGGGTTGGGGTAGGTGTAGACGTTAATAAAACACAACAAGTTACTGTGATGTAGGGTTTAGGGTAGGTGTAGACGTTATTAAAACAAAACAGGTCGCTGTGATGTCAGATTTAGGGTTGAAGTAGGTGTAGACGTTAATGAAACACAACAGGTTACTGTGAGGTTGGGTTTAGGCTTAGGGTAGGTGTAGACGTTAATGAAACCATACAATTCACTGTGGGGTCGGGTTAAGGGTTGGGGTAGGTGTAGACGTTAATGAAACACAACAGGTCACTGTGAGGTCGGGTTTAGGGTAGGTGTAGACGTTAATGAAACACAACAGGTCACTGTGAGGTCGGGTTTAGGGTAGGTGTAGACGTTAATGAAACACAACAGGTTACTGTGAGGTCGGGTTTAGGGTAGGTGTAGACGTTAATGAAACACAACAGGTCACTGTGAGGTCGGGTTTAGGGTTGGGGTAGGTGTAGACGTTAATAAAACACAATAAGTTACTGTGATGTAGGGTTTAGGGTAGGTGTAGACGTTATTAAAACACAACAGGTCGCTGTGATGTCAGATTTAGGGTTGAAGTAGGTGTAGACGTTAATGAAACACAACAGGTTACTGTGAGGTCGGGTTTAGGCTTAGGGTAGGTGTAGACGTTAATGAAACACTACAATTCACTGTGAGGTCGGGTTAAGGGTTGGGGTAGGTGTAGACGTTAATGAAACACAACAAGTTACTGTGTGGCCGGGTTTAGTGTAGGTGTAGACGTTATTAAAACACAACAGGTCACTGTAGGTAGGGTTTAGGCTTAGGGTAGGTGTAGACGTTAATGAAACACTACAATTCACTGTGGGGTCGGGTTAAGGGTTGGGGTAGGTGTAGACGTTAATGAAACACAACAAGTTACTGTGTGGGCGGGTTTAGTGTAGGTGTAGACGTTATTAAAACACAACAGGTCACTGTAGGTAGGGTTTAGGCTTAGGGTAGGTGTAGACGTTAATGAAACACAACAAGTTACTGTGTGGGCGGGTTTAGTGTAGGTGTAGACGTTATTAAAACACAACAGGTCACTGTAGGTAGGGTTTAGGCTTAGGGTAGGTGTAGACGTTAATGAAACACTACAATTCACTGTGGGGTCGGGTTAAGGGTTGGGGTAGGTGTAGACGTTAATGAAACACAACAGGTCACTGTGAGGTCGGGTTTAGGGTAGGTGTAGACGTTAATGTAACACAACAGGTTACTGTGAGGTCGAGTTTAGGGTTGGGGTAGGTGTAGACATTTATAAAGCACACTACTCGACTCCGTACAAGACAATAAACAAATAAATATTTACAAAACAATTAAACATTTATAAAGCACACTACTGGACTCCGTACACGACAATAAACAAATAAAAACTCCAGGTTTGTACAGCCCACCTGGAGTTCTAAGGCCCACCTACTCGAAGCCATTTAAACCCTTCTCGGAGGGCTGATGTCCTCCAGAGTTTAGCTTCAACCCCAAGCAGACACACCTGAACCTGCTAATCAAGCTCTTACAAGGTATACTACAAACCTTCAGGTAAGTGTGTTGAAGCAAGTTTGGGCACCCCTGTAATGATTTGCATTAGGTTTGTCACAGAAACTTGAAAATAAAAGATTATTGCAAGAAACATGGATTAGAGCAAGATATTAGGGCCCTTTGAATTGGCCAGTTTTGAGCACTTTGGTTTCGAAGAAACTTCAATATGGCAGTTATGATTTTTTTTAACTCCAAAGTGCCCTTCAGAGGCCGATATATGGGTTATCAGCAGGGCCAGACGGAATCTGCAGACGTTTTTTTGCTATTTCTGCTGAGAATTTTGATAAAAATCTGCAGATTTCTGCTAAATTATTTTGGAAGTATCCAACGGAGTATCATAACTAAAACCTTAATATATGAAATAAAAACTAATAAATTACTGAATAAAAACTGAATAAATTCAGATTTACACATTTACTCAAGTTAAAAAACAGAATTAATAATGGGCTAAAAATCTGCAGAAATCTGCGGAATTCTGCTGAAAATCTGCGGAAAATCTGTGGAATTCTGCGTGCGCAGATTCCGTGTGGGCCTAGTTATCAGTATACAACAGCTGACAACATAAATTATTCATACTCAAGAGAGTTTATTGGCATTATAAAATGCTTTATTACATCAACAAATACTTGGTTATACATTACATATACACTTTACCCAAATTGTTAAGACTTTATTTTGAGGGTCTCTATAGCATGATATGTTGACTAATTGTTTCATTGCAAATACATGTCGTTAATTTTCATTTGTGTATTAGGAGACTTTCTACTTCTTCAACAGAAATTTAACTGGCCATAAGAAACTTTGCAAGTACATGGCAACTAACCCCAAACCCAACCCAACATTTTACTTATAATCTGAGAATTAGTTGGCATGTAAATGCAATGTAACCTAAATTCAACAAAATGCGTTAAAGAGGCCATTAAAATAAAGTAAAACCCACAAAGTGAAATAAAAAATGAAAATGAGAGGTGTTTAAGTCACTACCACTCTTTACAAACTGAGTAGTCAGAATATTGATGTTATTCACAATATGAAATGTTAGAAATTATGCAGATAAAAAATGAAAACACAATCAAATAACTTTGAGCACAACACAAGTAAAAACCCCATAAACATTTCTATTAGTAGCAGGAGATGGAGACCTCTGCTGGTGGAGTGAAGGTTTGCACCGTCACTAACTGATCACTTACAGGAGAAACATGAACACAGACACCGAAAATATTAAACACTATAAGACTATAAAGCAATTCACTGACTCATCACTAATGATCCCTGTCAATCTCCGCCCACACAGCTCAGGATTGATGATTTCTGGCTCCGCCTCTCACTGCAGCCTCTTCCTGTTAAACCGAACAAACAATAAGATGAAGAAATCCAATAATCAAACTGCTGCTGAGAGGGTTTATCCATCAATCATCTGATCATCAGTGACCATTGTCTGACTTTGAGATTTACTTACTGTGGGTGTGTCGTAAAGGTCAGAGGTCGTGGGCTGGGGATCCATAGATCCATATGAGTCTGAGATCTAGACAGAGAGAAGGACATCGTAGCTCTATTTTAATGATATAAACTTGTGGTATAAAGTGCAAAACACCGGACCTCTTCATTTTGAGTATGGGAAAAATGGTCATGCACAAAGTGAATGGTCTAAAAGGGTTGTTGGTCATAACATGCATTTAACCAATCAGAGTCTCATCTCCCATTCTCTTTAAGAGCAAGCTCCTGTCACAACATGTTGGATTCATTATTTTCACTGGCGGACTTTGTAAGCAGAAAATCTAACCGCTAGTGAGGAAACAGATCTGCTGGTGCACAATGTTAAAGACCATCTATTGAGCCAGATTCACCAAAGCCCTCTGAGGTAAAGTAGGTGTGGTATGAGGTAGCAGGTTTTATATTTATTGCCTAATTTTTCTACCGAAGTCGCAACAGCAAAATGAACGGCTAACTATGCTAACCCAGTACTGGAAAACACCCATTCACTCTCACATTCACACAGACACTCATACACTATGGCCAATTTAGTTTATTCAATTCATCAATAGCGCATGTTTTCGGACTGTGGGGGAAACCGGAACACCCATAGGAAACCCATTCCAATGCAGGGAAAACAGGCAAACTCCACACTAACATGCCACCTGGCCCAGCTGAGACTCGAACCAGTGACCTTCTTGCTGTGAAGTGACAGTACTAACCACTGAGCCACTGTGCGGCTCCAATTTTACATTTATGTAAACAATAATATTTTTTTTACATTTTAATCCTTTCATTTTTAACATTTGAAGATGTTGGTGTGCTGGTGTGGATCCCTGTGTGTGTAATAAGCAACATGTATGCACATTTTGGACCTGCACATCACTAACGTGCCCTGATGTTTCAGAAAACTAATTTGGAGAGGAGCACATCATATGATTGATCGAGCTGGTCTCTCATCTGTAATCATTAGTGAGCCAATTGGATCATTCCAAACTCAACCTCAAGCCCCCACAAGAGACAGCTTGTGCACCTGCTCTTTTACAATTCAGCCACAACGCCATCAAGAGATCTTCCTCTCCTTCCGCTTCATGCCACCACCTGCTTTCCCCAGGCTCATTCTACGCATACCTTCAACTCAATCTCTAGCAAGCATACAGTCCACGAACTCTGTCAGAATCTCTCAAACGCTGCCATCTGTGTCATTGCAGTAAAGCTGAACACTGTCAACAAACAAAGAAATGAAAATAATAACCAAAGAAACTCACACTTCAAGCCTCCCGTCCCCCTCCTTTATCCCTGACTCCCGCTGGATGCCCTTCCAGCTGCAACCCATCACAGGGAAACACCCATACACTCTCATTCACACACATACATTACAGACAATTTTAGCTTACCCAATCCACCTGTACCGCATGTCTTTGGACTTGTGGGGAAACCAGAGAATGCAGAGGAAATCCACGGGAATGCAGTGAGAATATGCAAACTCCACACAAAAATATCAACTGAACCAGCCGAAGCTCGAACCAGCGACCTCCTTGCTGTGAGACGACAGCACTACCTACTGCACCACTGCGTCATCTAGGAGTCTTCATAACGCTATATCTGTATATATAGTGCCGCCACTTCCCAGTTCTATCTCTGTTAAGAAAGTTTTTCAAGCAATTGACGCCCCAGAAGTCAACAACCCACCCCCCGTTCACCTCCCTATCCAGCTGGAGGCCTCATCACCCCTTCCTTTTTCCCTGACTCCAGCAGGATCCCTCCCACCCCACGGCTCTGACTCCCACTTGGGTCACCCTAAGCCTTGACTCTCTCAGGAGTCTTCACTGCCCCCCCAACGCCATCCCTTCTCAGGCTCCCGCAGTAGTCTGTGTCACCGTCTGCTCCCACAGGAGCCCCCTTTACTTTTTCCTTTCCCAATCACTATATTCAGCGGCTAGCTATTGCATTTATAGCCTTTTGGGGTGTTTCTTCAAATACACTGCTGCTGTCAGTAAGCATTTTAGGGAACTACCTGATCTCGTACCCCCTCACATGCTCATTGACCAGGCGGGAGCCCTGGGCTCAATTGTCTCTGAGCTCAGGGTTCTCTCCTGGGACAGCATACCAAAACTGCTATCATTATCAGGTAATATCTAAGCATGAACTCTTGAAATAAAAGAAAAACTGCGGCATTAATTTTAGAGGATCTTTTAGTTGGTCAATGTTGCTGTCTATTTAAAATGCAACATGTCAATAATGTGCCTTTACACACCTCCTGTTCAGACCAGCACAGCCATGGGTGCACAGATGGTTTGCCATTCAAACAAACCAGCAAAGAAAATAAAATGATACCTGAACCAGGCTGAACTGCATTAATGTCCAGAGGAACTCAATGTAAATCAGTTTTACTCTACACCCTTAATATCTCTGTACATGAAAACACTGTAAATAATTTAGATCATCTCACCGCAGACTCTTTCAATGCAGATCGTTTGCACTTCCATTTAAATAGCCTGTCAGAAGAAAGATGATGGTAAAAAATCTAAGGTAAATACAGCACTGTGGAAGGTTGTTACTGCAGTTTTAAATAGTGCAGTTTTTATTGATCTCACATTGCAAGCAAGATTATGATGATTATTAATCCTGCAGATGTGACTATTATCACAGTCATAGTTCTCCCAGCGCCTTGCTGAACTGAAAGATGAAGCAGATCATGATTAACTCTCCAGACTGATGAAGTTACAGGAGTGTGATGATAAAAGCTTCACCAGTGACAGTGACGGCGTCTGATCTCTGAGCTCCATGTGGATTGTGAGCCTCACAGTAGAAGCGTCCACTCTGTACTGCACTGAAACTCTGTCCAGATCCAACAGCTGAGCTTTGATTCTCCTTAAACCAGCTGAAGTTCAGAGCAGGAGGGTTTGAGTCACTGATGCACATCAGACTCACTGAATCAGAAAAAAGCTGACCAGAATCAGTGACGGACACTAAGACATTCCTGGGAGGATCTGAAACAGAAAAACAATGATATCATTAACATTCTCAATAAATATGTCACAGTCTACATATATAAGAGGAAATATATCAGTAGATGAAGCATCATAAACTCACACTGGACATCTAAAGTCACAGGATCAGAGTATTTCTCTCCATGTTCATTTCTGGCTCTACACTTGTATTCTCCACTGTCATCAGAGCTGATCTTGGAGATGTTGAAGATTCTTCCAGATCCTACAGATGTTTCTCCTTTAAACCAGCTGATTTGTGCAGGAGGGTTTGAGTCGCTGCTGCAGCTCAGAGTCACTGAATCTCCAGACATTATCACAGAAGGTCCACTGAGGGACACTGAGATGTTCCTGGGTGGATCTGAAACAGAAAAAAAAAAAACCACTCATATCAATAAATCACATCCCACATGACATTAAAGTCCAGATTTAGAGGATTTATATATATGTTACTGAAGCATTATAAACTCACACTGAACATCTAAAGTCACAGGATCAGAGTATTTCTCTCCATGGTCATTTCTAGCTCTACACTTGTATTCTCCACTGTCATCAGAGCTGATCTTGGAGATGTTGAAGATTCTTCCAGATCCTATGTACTTGGTTGCTTTAAACCAGTTGATTTCAGCAAGAGGGTTTGAGTCACTGCTGCAGCTCAGAGTCACTGAATCTCCAGACATTATTACAGCAGATCCACTAATGGACATTGAGACATTTCTGGGGGGATCTAAAAAAGAAGAAGAAGAAGAAAAAAAGGGTAACAAATAATTAACCCAAATAACCAACACTTAAATTGATTCAAATACTGCTTTTGTCAGTTTTAATAGCTGAACATTCATAAACTCACACTGGACATCTAAAGTCACAGGATCAGAGTATTGCTCTCCATGCTCATTTCTGGCTCTACACTTGTATTCTCCACTGTCATCAGAGCTGATCTTGGGGATGTTGAAGATTCTTCCAGATCCTACAAATGATTCTTCTTTAAACCAGCTGATTTCTGCAGGAGGGTTTGAGTCACTGCTGCAGTTCAGAGATACTGAATCTCCAGACATTACTACATGAGACCCACTGACAGACACTGAGATGTTCCTGGGTGGATCTGAAACAGAAAAAAAAAACACTTATATCAATAAATCACATCAAACATGGCATTGAAGTCTAGATTTAGAGGATTTAATATATCAGTTACTGAAGCATTTTAAACTCACACTGGACATCTAAAGTCACAGGATCAGAGTATTTCTCTCCATGTGCATTTCTGGCTCTACACTTGTATTCTCCACTGTCATCAGAGCTGATCTTGGAGATGTTGAAGAATCTTCCAGATCCTACAGATGTTTCTCCTTTAAACCAGCTGATTTCTGCAGGAGGGAGGGTTTGAGTCACTGCTGCAGCTCAGAGTCACTGAATCTCCAGACAGTATTACAGCAGATCCACTTATGGACACTGAGACATTCCTTGGTGGGTCTGAAACAGACCAAATTTACCTAATTTTACATAATTATTACAGTAATTCATTATTTTGAACAATGATCAGTACAAATTATTAAAAACTTACACTGGACATCTAAAGTCACAGGATCAGAGTATTCCTCTCCATGTTCATTTCTGGCTCTACACTTGTATTCTCCACTGTCATCAGAGCTGATCTTGGAGATGTTGAAGATTCTTCCAGATCCTACAAATGTTTCTCCTTTAAACCAGTTGATTTCTGCAGGAGGGTTTGAGTCGCTGCTGCAGTTCAGAGTTACTGAATCTCCAGACATTATTACAGCAGATCCACTGATGGACACTGAGATGTTCCTGGGTGCGTCTGAAACAGAACAAATTTATTTATTATGCATAATTATTACAGTTATTTATTATTTTTAACAATGATCTGTACAAATCATCATTTACTCACATTGGACATCTAAAGTCACAGGATCAGAGTATTTCTCTCCATGGTCATTTTTGGCTCTACACTTGTATTCTCCACTGTCATCAGAGCTGATCTTGGAGATGCTGAAGATTCTTCCAGATCCTACAGATGTGTCTCCTTTAAACCAGCTGAAGTTCAGTGCAGGAGGGTTTGAGTCGCTGCTGCAGCTCAGAGTCACTGAATCTCCAGACATTATTACAGCAGGTCCACTGATGGACACTGAGATGTTCCTGGGTGGATCTGAAACAGACCAAATTTACTTATTATACAAAATATTATAGTCATTTATTATTTTGAACAATGATCTGTACAAATGATAATTTACTCACACTGGGCATCTAAAGTCACAGGATCAGAGTATTTCACTCCATGTTCATTTTTGGCTTTACACTTGTATTCTCCACTGTCATCAGAGCTGATATTTAATATGTTGAAGATTCTTCCAGATCCTACATACGTTGTTCCTTTAAACCAGCTGAATAATGCAGGAGGGTTTGAGTCACTGCTGCAGTTCAGAGTCACTGAATCTCCAGACATTATTACAGCAGATCTTCTGATGGATATCGAGACATTCCTTGGAGGATCTAAAGAAGAAGAAGAATAAAAGATAACATTTAATTAACCCAAATAAAATTTTATCAAATACTTCATTCATAATTTTAATAACTGAACGTTCATAAACTCACACTGGACATCTAAAGTCACAGGAGCAGAGTATTTCTCTCCAAGGTCATTTCTGGCTCTACACTTGTATTCTCCACTGTCATCAGAGCTGATCTTGGAGATGTTGAAGATTCTTCCAGAACCTACAGATGTTTCTCCTTTAAACCAGCTGAAGTTCAGAGCAGGAGGGTTTGAGTTGCTGCTGCAGATCAAACTCACTGAATCTCCCTTTACTATTACAGCAGATCCATTGATGGACACCGAGACGTTGTTTGGAGGATCTACAACACACACAATTAAGGAAAAACTGTCTAAACTGATAAATTCCTCCAAATTAACATTGTCTATATCAGAGCCTATATCCCCGAAATTATTAAAACAGTTTTCAGAAGTTTCTGAACGTTTTCTTAACCTTTTGAATCCTTCCTTACTTTTGTAATATGCGCCTAAAACTTTTAAACTAGCTGTCATTCAGCCTCTTATTTAAAAAAAAAACAAAAAAAAAAACAGCTTAATCCTTAAAAAATGGTCATTTATAGACAAGGGGTCACCAATCTCATTCCTGGAGGTCTAATGGCCTGCAGGGTTTACCTCCAACTTGCCTCAACACACCTGCGTGGGTGTTTCAAGTACACCTAGTAAGACCTTCATTCACTTGTTCAGGTGTGCTTGATTAGGGTTGGAGCTCAAATCTCCAGGACACCGGCCCTCCAGGAACAAGTTTGGTGATCCTTGTTATAGACCATTTCAAACCTGGCTTTTCTATCAGAAATTCTAGGAAAAGTTGTCTCTGCTTAACTATGTTCCTTCCTACAGAGAAACAATATTTGTGAGAATCCAGTCTGGATTTAGAGAACTTCATAGCACAGAAACAGCACTTGTAAGAACTGAAACTGACCTGCTCCTGTCGTCCGATAATAGATCGTGGATCATAATATTCTCTTTGATAGGCTTGAAAATTATATTGGTATTACTGGAACTGCATTGGCCTGGTTCAGGTCTGATCTATCTAAACGTTTTCAAGTTGTGTCAGTTATTGAAGAGGCATCATACAGATCAAAAGTACACTGTGGGATACCACAAAGCTCAGTTCTTGTTCTGTTTTCACACTATATATGCAACCACTAGGTGATATCATAAAAAAAAACAAAAAAAAAAAACATGTTAGTTTCCACTGTTATGCTAATGATACACAACTTTATATGTCCTCTCAATCTGGTAATTTGTACTAATTTTCAAAATTAACAGATTGTATAGCTGATATTAAACATTGGTTGACTAATAACTTCTTATAACTAAATTCAGATAAATCTGAGATCTTGCTAATTGGACACAAAAACCTCACACGCAAAACCCTCTTCTTCAGTCCTCTTCTTCAGTCAAAAATTTGGTATGATTTTTTAATCATCCCAAGGCCAGATTTCAAGCATCTGTAAGACTGCATTTTTTTTTTATTTGAAAAATGTTGCCAAACTTCAACATATGCTATCAATGTCTGATGCGTAAAAGCCTATACATGCATTCATTACTTCTCAGTTATACTATTGTTATGTGTTACTAGGTGGTCGCCCTGTTGGCCTAATTAGCACACTTCTGCTGGTTCAAGATGCAGCTGCCAGACTGCTTTTTAAAACAAAGAAATATGATCAGAGTATATGAATACTTTCCAGATACACTGTAAACTCTGGAACAGCCATCTTAGCACAGTTCGGGAGGCAGACACCCTCTGTCAGTTAAAAGACACATCTGTTTGCATTAGCATACACATAAACCCAAATGCTTTGAAATCCAAATCCTCTGAAGTTTGTTTGGCCGTACTCACACTAGGTACAGTTGCCTCGAACCGGGCCAAGGCACGCTTGTCCCCCCTCCCGTCTCCCCTGTTGGCCCGCACTCACACCACAAACGGGCCTCGGCACGCTTACGTCATCGCTGCTGCGCTGTTCAGTGAGAATCGCTCTCTCACTCAGCAGCACAGTGGAGATTTCTCTAGTTATATCGTTTCAGTCGTTTGATATGCAGTGACATGCAGTCAGATATTTCGCCAAACAGTCCTTAGGGATGCGGTGACACGCAGTCAGATATTTCGTCGAACAGATCCGCCACTTTTGGAGCTCATAATAATAAAGCTCTCGTGCTGCAGGAATGAGGAGGTCTGCTGAAGCCGCGCAGCTGTGGTGCAGTGAGAAGTTCTCGTCTTTAATAAACTATGGCAGTTTGCGTTCACTGAACAGTAAGAATGATTAATAAATCCATATGAAACAATCCCTTAAAAGTCACGTCTCGCTTTCAGTTTCGGGCTTGAGGCTCAGGCACACCTCTTCCAACCGGGCCCGGGCCGGCCAAGTGAACCGTGCTTGAGCCCGATTCAGCGCACTCACTCTTCTCAAACGATCCGGGAAACGGGCCTGGGCACGGTACAGATGGCATAGTGTGAGTAGGCCCTTAGTCCACATTATTTAGGGCAAGCGGAGCCGGTAACGCTTATGTAAGTCTAATCCTGAGGTCTCCACATTCCTGAACCCCTGACTTATCGAGCTGCGCATCGATGGACTTGCTCTTCAGTGTCTCATCAGTGAAAATGAAACCAAACTGAACTGAACACTGGACTGACACAGGTTTAATTTACTAGAACTTCTATGTTGCTGCTTTGACCCAATCAACAATGTAAAAGTGTCAGAGAAATAAAGATGAATGGAATTGAATGTCCATCGTAGATAAATTACAGAAGCATTTAAAAATGAATAAATAAATCTGTACTTACAGGTGACATTGAGATAGACATCAGGCGATGCAAGTGTGTTTCCAAGTACAGCACATCTATATCTGCCTGCATCTTCTCCTCTGACTGGATCAAGGATGAGTTTGTCTCCAGTAGTTCCTGTAGTCAATATCTCTGAGTTTCTGTACCAGATGAATGTTGGTGTGTCAGTCAGATTACAGCTGCGTTTACATGTCAGACGGACTGAATCTCCCTCTGTCACTCTCTCAGGAGACTCCAGCTGAAGATCTGAACACAACACACACATTATATCTAGTGCTGCTCTCATACACTGATTATTATTCTACATAATGACCACAAGAAGAGAGAAACCTCAGGAGAGTCACCTGTGACATTAAGATGCACTCCTGGAATACCAATAATTCTCCCACCAGTTACATTAGTAGTGATTCTGAAGTAATACTCGTGTTCATCATTCTTGGTCACATGACTCAGTCTGATGGTGCAGTTCTGCTTTTTATCTCCCAGATACTGAAGCCTCTGACTGTATTCAGGGTCCTCAGACAGATCTGCAAACTCTCCTCCATTTTTTACAAGGTCTTTGTTCCAGAACACTTTCATGATCTGATATCCAGTAGTCGGGTATGTAAAAGTGCAGCTGATTGTCACTGATGAGTTCTGTAGAGCACAGATTTGTGAAGGACTGTAATTCACACCCCAACCAGCAGCAGAAACCCCTGAAACAGAAATAGTCCTGATTAAAATGTAGCTTTAGCAATTCCACTGGACTTTAAAACACTAGGGAATAGAGAAATAAAAACAGAGAGAAGAGTGATTAAATCATCAGTGATAAAAAGAAAAATAACAGTACTTATAGTGAAGAACAATTTACTAACATGAATACCACATTTCTTATTATGAGCTAATAGTTGTTCACCTACCTTAATTACTTATTAGTACATACAATTTATGGCATACTTCAAGTCAATATCAAAGAACTAGCCAAAAAACAAACAAAAAAAAAATGCTGTCATTGAATTATAGCAGTGATGTGAATGTAAGATTGACTCACTGTGAATGATGAGCAGAAAGATCAGATGAAGAGCAGGAGCCATTCTGAGCCACATCAGCATCAAATCTATCTAGAATCCAGCATTAATCATCACTTCTACACTCATCAACAGTAAATGTACATCACCCTAAACAGCTCTTAGTGTTAGGAAGATCTTTACAAATCTGCAGATTATTAATGCACAACATCAGTGTGTGTAAATCAACTGATGACTGAGATCAACACAAGATATTTCTCATGTCACAAATCATGTGTTATATGAGCTTCATCTACACTAATCATCAGTCAAATACCAGTGTGTTTGTCTTACCGTGTTGAAGAGCAGCCGATCAACAGAAACTGACTGTTTTAACACATGCTCTTCTTCCTTAAAGTAACTGAGTTTCTGTGGTTAACACTGTTTAATCTGTCCCTCCTCTTAACTAAACATACCTGAGATGAAACTCTCTCAAGTTAATGATGTTTTAAGACGTTTAAAGTTGATGTTTAATGTGTTTTTGTGAACTAAGACTGTATTTCATCTTTAAGACTTGAATAAAAGTTATTAAAAATGGAGGGTAGGATTATTCTGACTGATAAAAGCAATATTTAGATGGCAGTTTTCCAATTTCTTAAAAGCTACTGTGTTTGAGCTGTTTATGTTAAATGTTGAAATGGCAGCTATTCCAGTAATACTGGTAGATTGAGTTTCTGCTTTATCATTTCAAGTGTTTGGGTGTTTTCCAGTTATGGGTTGCAGCTGGAAGAGCATCCGCTGCATAAAACACATGCTGGATAAGTTGGCGGTTCATTCCGCAGTGGCGACCCCAGATGAATAAAGGGACTAAGGCGAAGCAAAATGAACAAATTAATGAATAAGCAGAGAAGCTTCAAAATCCAGTGAGACGATGTTGAAATCTCTTTCACTGTGAATTAAAATAAGTATTTATGAACACTTTGTAGCACACGTAAAACAGAACACAGCAAGTCTAATGTGGAGATTTGTATATTCAATGGTCTCACAGGACTAAAATGTGCATAATGTGTTGGTCCAAACCAAGCCGCAACCTCCAGCTTCCCCTTGTGAAGTCAATACCACTTTTACCAACTATTTTCAATGAAAAGGCGCTAAGCTCTGCCTGAAAAGTCTCTAAAAGTCCCTTGATTATGTCATATGTCAATTTGCATATCACTATCATCATCACGTTCTACCATTTCTGTGTGTTTAACAGCCCATGGTTAGTAAAGGGGTGTTTATATTTGCTCTACGCTTTATGTAAGCATGTCAATTTAACTAAATGTATTGCTGTTTGAATACAGTATATCACTATAGATGTGTAGTAAATCTGCAGTAATCTCTCAGACGTAATAAATGTTCCGTTTATTAAAAGTTATGAAACTCTCACGTAAAATATCTGTGACTGTGAACAAGAGAAAATAAACGGTCAAATTGAACTGTTAGGAGAAGCAAATTGGTTTGACTGTACAATGCAAATACATTCACACTGCTGGTGATAAATCATTTGCCGTCGGTACGCAGAAAAGTGATCTGCTGTCAGGCTGCAGGTGGGAGAGGCTGCTGTATGACTACTGGGCCGCCTGTCAGTGCTCTGAGGCAGAGGAGGGGCCGACGACATCATCTGCAGCTCATTGAGAAGAGTAGGGATAGTACCTTATGGACACAGTCTATAAAAATCTCCAGTCACACACAAAAAAAGTAGCTCAATTTGTTTCTAGTCGCTTTTTTGACAATTTGTTGCTAGAGGGGTCTGAAAAGTTGCTAATTATAGCGACACAGTTACTAAGTTGGCAACACTGGTCAATACGGATGTAACTGCAATTTAAATTTACAGCTGATAAACACATGTTTACAGCCTGGTACAAAAGACGGTTTTGGTACATATAGCTAATAATAGCCTTCATGACAACTGCAAGGTGTTGAATCTTTTGTTATGACTCATGCTCATGCATGTTTTGTTTTCATTCTGTTAATTAAACATAATTAAGGACGTGGCCATTGAAGTGACAGCTAGGTTTTGCTCAACACCGTCACGTCACTTCAGCTGATTCCGGCTGATTAGCTGCTGAACTCTGTATATACATAATATTTTTGTTTTGTTTTTTTGTGGATTTACTTAATCTATTGCCTTTTAAAATTGTTTCCTACAACTTTCAGATGATATTGCATGCTGTGTGCATTTAATTGTGCTCAATATGCATTCAAGTGGCCTCAATTTCACAGGTGAGTAAAATTATATACTTGTGTACTATCTCTATTAATGTATTTATGATCATTTATCATTTATAATGTTCTTTAGAGCTGTAATGCACTCCAGAATCTGTCAGATTGATTAGCTGTAGGCTCTAGAACAGTCATCTGAAGCATTGTCATACACTTGTATGCCTGGATTTCATCAATAGCCTTGCATTTACTAACACAGACTATATCTGAAGTGTTTGAAAGTAATTGGCGTTTTCCTCCTGTAGAAAAACATCATAAGAACAATGTTTGGTGGTTCAATGTGTTACAGCAGTGTTTTTAAAAGTCTGAACACTTTATTGATAAGTACACAACCAAGCACATGTAGTCAGAACACAAACGAGTCGCAGGTAATTTAGCATTAAGTGTTTCTCCGGGTTTCTCTCAAAGTAAAGCTTGTCTAAGCAAAATGCTAGCAGGCGTCTGTAGCTCTGCTCATGCTCCGCCTCTTTACCCTTGTCTGGTATCTCCCGGTTGGTGCAATGATGCGCAAACAAAATGATGATGGTTATTAGCTTATTTTGCATTCTTTTGAAACCTATGGGTGACGTCACGCATATGACGTCCATATCTTTTACTGTCTATGGTCCAAGCCTGTGTTTGAAGCAGAAGAGTTTGCAGAAGCAAATGCACACTTCAGAGGTCTTCAAAATCCTCTCATTAGACACTGTTTACTACTGTAGTTATTCTCTGAAATGTAAATGTCATGAGGGGGTTTGGCCGTGAGAGCGCCACCTGTCTTGACTGACTACCAGCTCTTGAGCTTGTATTTTGTTTTGATTTCACCTGTGTTACATGACTCTGTTCTGGATTTCCAGAGAGAGGCGCAGTCTAGAGGTCTAAATTTCTAGATGTCTAGAGGAATAAATTTCCAAATAAATCGCGGGAGTGGTCGGTAACGGGTTTAATTTGGGACGGGAGCTGGCTGTCTAGCAATATCGCGGATATTGCTATGCGAATAATGAGAGAGAGAGAGAGAGAGAGAGAGAGAGAGAGAGAGAGAGCTTTCCCAGATAGCAAAATACACTCGGGCCAGTTCCAGCTAGATTCTCGCCTGCCAGAGACTTACCACTCAGCCTGGCTCCGGCTGCCGGACTCCGGATGCTTGTGGACTCACTGCCCGATTCCGGCCCGAATCGATCGGGTCAGATGCGGCAGCCGTAAGCGAGCCGACGCTGCCGCATCCACGCCGGAATCGGCTCGAGAGTAATGTGCGCTGCGGCCCGGAGCTGGCGCGACTCAGTATTTATATACCTTTATATAAAACCTTTTGGTATTACATTGGTACTTGATACATGGTATTACAAGCCTTTGAGTTGATATAACAGCAAACACCTGTGTGTCTGCTTGGTGCTTGTGTGTGTGTTAGTGTGCGCGCCGTATGAGAGAGAGAGATTGGTCTGTGTGTGTGTGCTTGGTGCTGTGTGTGTGTGTTTATACAGACAGCTTGGCTGTCTGGACTGTATAGATGGGGGATTTTCGGTTTTGTTCTCCCCGCTCTTTAGCGGGATCGGGCGCGACGGGCAGAAAACGGGGCGGGTCGGGCAGCGGGACTATAAATTCTTAATATAAGCGGGAGCGGTCGGGTTCGGGCTAAAACCTGGCGGGTGCGGGCGGGAGTGGGATTCAAAATTTAGTCCCACACAGATCTCTAGCGCAGGCTTCAGTCCAGCTGTGGTTGAGTGTATTTACTGATGTGCCGATGAATAAGAAGTAAAGATGCAGTTTAAATATTGATTTAGGCTCATCTGCAGACGCTTAGACGAGTTGATCTGTTTAATCACTGCATGAATGACAGAGGCTGACAACATGAATTATTCATACTATAGAGGCTTTATTAGGATAATACATGGATGTGATTAATTACATCAACAAAGCATTCTTAACTGATTAGAGACACAAAACCTAAAAACAGTCATAGCATTTAGATCACTACCGCAAAACTGACAATCAAAATATTAATATTACTCTCACAATATGGCATGTTAGAAATGAAGCTGAACACATTCACATCAGGAGCAGGAGATGGAGACCTCTGCTGGTTGAGTGAGGGTTTGCACAAACACTAATAATAAAACTGATCACATACAGGAACACAGAAGACAGAATAACTGAAGCCGGAAATATTAAACACTTTAAGACAATAAAGCAATTCACTGACTCATCACTAATGATCCCTGTCAATCACATGTGGCTCCGCCCACACAGCTCAGGATTGGTGATTTCTGGCTCCGCCTCTCACTGCAGCCTCCTGTTGATCTGAACAGACAATAAGATGAAGAAAGACTGAAGCTCAACCACATTAAACTCTTTGACGAGGCTCATCCAATAATCAAACTGCTGCTGAGAGGGTTTACGGCTGATATTGTCTCTTACTGGTGGATTGTGATGTTCAGAAGAGCTCTGAGGATCAAGAGTGGAGCAGGAGTTTTCAGCAGGTCTGTGGTGAACGCTCTGTGTGAAAGACAGCGAGAGATCATCAATCATCTGATCATCAGTGAACATTGTCTGACTTTGACTTTCACTTACTGTGAGTGTGTCGTACAGGTTAGAGGTCGCGGACTGGAGATCCAGACCTGCATATGTGTCTGAGATCTGCACAGAGAGAAGGACATTGTGGCTCTATTTTGATGATCTAAACTTGTGATCTAAAGCACACGATGCAGGAGCTCATAGGGTGAGTCTGAATCTACTTTTGCTGTTTTAAGAATGGGAAAAGCAGTCGGCATGCCCAGCGCACGGTCTAAAAGTGTTGTCCTTATTCTTTTAATGATCCATGTGTGTGTTTGGAGTGTAATGGGCATTAAAACAATCAGAGTCTCATCTTCCATTCCCTATAATCGAGTTGTAGTTGCGCAATGGTGGATTCGCTGGCGGACTTTCTAAACAGAAAAGCTGAACGCTTCACTAAACAGAGGAAACAGATCTGCTGATGCACAATGTTAAAGACCATCTACAGAATGAGCCAGATTCACTAAAACCCTCTGAGGTAAATACAGGAGAAGCTAGCATTTTGTTTATTTATGTATACAATAATAATCTTTTACATTTTAATTGTTTTTTTTTTTTTTCATTTTTAAAGTTGGTCATGTGC